TAGCTAACTCCATATATATTAGCTCTGTAGCTAACACTATATACGGTACATTAGCTCTGTAGCTAACGCTATATGCATTAGCTCTGGAGCTAACTTCATATGTTTTAGCTCTGGAGCTAACCTCATATATATTAGCTCTGAAACTAACACCATATACATCTATATTAGCTATGTAGCTAACGACATATATGTTAGCTCTGGAGCTAACAATATATACATTAGTCCTGTAGATAATGCCGTTTATAGTAGCTCTGGAGCTATCCTCTTATATTTTAGCTCTGGAGCTAACACAAGCTACATGAGCGCCCTTCATGAGCCAGCTCTGCTGTCCATCTGCAGGGCAGGGCTATTGTCATGCGTGTACTCCCAATGACTAATTTGTTGTTGAGTGCCAAGTGTTGTGTTGCTCTGTGGTGTGGTTGGAATGGTTTGGCTTTATATCCACTCCATCACCCAAATTATACAAGCGATAGAAAATGGATGGAAGTATGTGGGAAGTGACAAAAATATATTTAAGTCTTTATTATTATATATAATGTGTAACTATTCTATTTTATCTGAGAATGTGTTTGACCCAGATGCTTATTTTGAGCAGCTTAAGTTAAAAAGTGAAGCTCCTTGCAGCAGAAGCTTTCTCATAATAATCACAAACACCAACTCTGGACTCCACATCATTGTTCAGTCTTAATCCATTTTAGCTGCAGGCTGAGTCTTCTCTCCATTCTCCCTGTCAACACACAAAGAGGTCAAAGTAAAGAGCTACACGTCAGATATATGTCTACAATCAATGCTGAACTTGGGTAGAGCTCGCAGCGGAGCAACTTGTCGACGTCATTTATCCAGAAGGCACTGCAAAGTAAATAAAATGGTAACGTTCGTGTGACATTAATTATGTTTATGTCACACGAATTATAACTAAACAGCAGACAGTACTGTATTTTCACTCTCGTTTTTATAAATAAAGTAAATGTTTATAAAATAAGGTCTAAAGTTCCAACTAGTCAGAGATCTGTTTACAGAACTAACTTCACATCACAATGTCCAACAACTACACATGTAAATTTGCTGGTTATAAAATTAGAATATCATGAAAAAGTTGATTTATTTCAGTAATTCCATTCAAAAAGTGAAACTTATTTATTATATTCCTTCATTTCAAACAGACTGATATATTTCAAACGTTAATTTATTTTAATGTTCATGATTATAACTGACAACTAATACCCAAATTCAATATCTCAGAAAATTAGAATATTACTTAAGCCCGATAAAAAAATGATTTTTAGAAATGTTGGCCAACTGAAAAGTATGAACATGAAAAGTATGAGCATGAAAAGTGTGAGCATGTGCAGCATTCAATACTTGGGGCTCCTTTTGCCTGGATTACTGCAGCAATGTGACGTGGCATGGAGTCGATCAGACTGTGGCACTGCTCAGGTGTTATGAGAGCCCAGGTTGCTCTGATAGTGGCCTTCAGCTCTTCTGAATTGTTGGGTCTGGCATATCATATCTTCCTCTTCACAATAGCTCATATATTTTCTATGGGGTTAAGGTCAAGTGAGTTTGCTGTCCAATTAAGAACAGGGATATCATGGTCCTTAAACCAGGCACTGGTAGCTTTGGCACTGTGTGCAGGTTCCAAGTCCTGTTGGAAAATTAAATCTGCATCTCCATAAAGTTGGTCAGCAGCAGGAAGCACGAAGTGCTCTAAAACTTCCTGGTAGACGGCTGCGTTGACCTTGGACCTCAGAAAACACAGCGGACCAACACCAGCAGATGACATGGCACCCCAAACCATCACTGACTGTGGAAACTTGACACTGGACATCAAGCAACATGGATTATGTGCCACTCCTGTCTTCCTCCAGACTCTGAGACTTTCAGTTCCAAAGGAAATGCAAAATTTACTTTCATCAGAGAACATAACTTTGGACCACTCAGCAGCGTCCCAGGTGAGACACTTCTGACGCTGTCTCTTGTTCAAGAGTAGCTTGACACAAGGAATGTGACAGCTGAAACCCATGTCTTGCATACCTCTGTGTGTGGTGGTTCTTGAAGAACTGATTCCAGCTGCAGTCCACTTTTTGTGAATCTCCCCCACATTTTGGAATGGGTTTTGTTTCACCATCCTCTCCACGGTGTGGTTATCCCTATTGCTTGTACACTTTTTCTCTTCCCTTCGCCTCTCTATCAATGTGCTTAGACACAGAGCTCTGTGAACAGCCAGCCTCTTTATCAATAACCTTTTATGTCTTTCCCTCCTTGTGCAAGGTGTCCAAGGTTGTCTTTTGGACAACTGTCAAGTCAGCAGCTTTCCCCCTGATTGTGTAGCCTACAGAACTAGACTGAGACCATTTAAAGGCCTTTGCAGGTGTTTTGAGTTAATTAGCTGATGAGAGTGTGGCACCATGGGTCTTCAATATTGAACCATCCATCCATCCATCTATCCATTATTTTTTTACCCGCTTCTTCCATTTTGGGTCACGGGGGTTGCCGGTGCCCATGTCCAGCCATCACTCTGCAAGGGGCAGGCTACTCCCTGGACAGGTCTCCAGTCCATCACAGGGACTCATAGAGACAAACAACCATTCACTCTCTCACTCACACCTAGGGACAATTTAGAGTTACCAGTCAGCCTAACATGCATGTTTTTGGTCTGTGGGAGGAAACTGGAGTACCCGGAGAAAACCCACGCATGCACGGAGAGAACATGCAAACTCCACCCAAAATGGCCCCCAGACCGGGATTTGAACCGAGGACCTGCTCGCTGAGAGGCAGCAGCTGTACTAGTTGCACCACCGTGCTGCCCTGTTGTAATCATCAACATTAAAAAATATGTATTTGAAATATATCAATCTGTGTGTAATGAATGAATATAATGTACAAATTTCACTTTTTGAATGGAATTACTGAAATCAACTTTTTCATGATATTCTAATTTTATAATCAGCACCTGTATGTGTGTGTGTGTGTGTATATATATATATATATATATATATATATATATATATATATATATAT